GTGAAGTTCAGCCATGGATTCACCCATGCTGGGCTTTTCTTTGTTGGGAGCATTTTAATTACTACTTTAATCTTATTGCTTATTCTTAGTCTGTTCAGTTTTTCAATATCCTCTTTGTTCAATTTTGGTGGATCATATGTCCCTAGAAATGTTTTCTTTTATTCTAGACTTTCCAATTTATCAGAATATTAGTTTTCAAAAATAATCTCTAATGATATTCTGGACTTCAGATATATTTGTTGTAATATTGCCTTTTTATCTCTAATGTTATTAATGTACTCTCTTTGCTTTATTTGGCTAAAGATTTATCAATTTCATATCTTTTCAAAGAACCAACTCTTTGTTTCATTGATCCTTCATATTGGTCTTTTAGTCTCTACTTCATTAACTTCTGATCTTTATATTCATTTCTTTCTACTTGTTTGAGAATTGGTTTGTTCTTATTTATCAGAAACCTAAATTTGCATCAATAGTTTGTTTATTTGAGATCTCTCCGATTTTTAATGTAGGCAGTCATAGATATAAACTCCCATCTTAGAACTTCCTTCATTTTATCCCACAGACTTTGGTATGTTGTTTTTATTTTCATTTTATACTAGCAATTTTAAAATTTCTCTCTTTATTTTTTCAATGGCCCAAACTTCATTCAAAGGTATACTGTTCGATTTCAATGTGTTTGTATTCTTTTTGTAGTTTCTCTTGCTGTTGATTTCTAGTTTCGTTTCATCTGATGAGATACAAGAAATTATGTTAAATTTTTTCATATTTAATAAGACTTACTGTATGACATATGATCTATTTTGGAGAAAGTTCCATGAGCTTATGAAAAGTATATTAGATGGAATATTCTGGAAATATCTGTTATGTCCATTCAATCTATAGGTAATTTAACTCTGCTGAATCTTCATTGATATGTGTGTGTCTGGATGATCCTACAGCTAGAGTGGAGTAATTAAGTCAACCACTGTTGTTTTATTGGTGGTCTATCCATTTATTTCTAGTAGTGTTTGTTTTATGAAATGGGGTACATTGATGTTGAAGGCATAATCTTGTTGGATTGTTCCATTTACCAATATATAATGACATTCTTTCTCTTCTAACTAATTTTGTCTTGAAGTCTGCCTTGTCATATATGTGTACATCTTCCCCTGCTTGTTTTTAGATTCCATTCACATGTAATATCATTTTCTATCTTTCACTTTCAGTGTGTGTATGTCTTTGCTAATGAGGTGTATGTATGCAACAGGCACAATATAATTGCTTCTTTAACTGAACTTTCCAGAATTAAGATCATTTACATTCAGGATTGTTATAGAGTGGTACATACTAATTCCTGTCATTTTGTTTTGATGCTAATGTTTTATTTGTTCCTAATTATCATTTGCTTATCTGCTTTTCTAGTGAGATTGTTTTCTCTTCTATGCTCTTTTCATTATGTTTATCTTCCTTTTCTGTTTATAGGACTGCTTTAATATCTTCTGAAATCCTGGCTTAGTTTTCATGTCCTCTAGCTTGTGCTCACCTTGAAAGGTCTTTATTTCTTCATCAATTCTGAAGGATACCTCTTCTGTATTTAGTAATCTAGATTGGCACTTACTCTAGTTCAGGGCTTAAAATATCTCATTCCATGCCCTCCTGACCTTTAGAGTTTCTTCTTAGAAATCTATTGTTATATTGATGGGTTATCCTTTATCAGTAACCTGTAAGTTCTGTCTTGGACTTTTAAAAATCCTTTATTTTTTTCCAAATTGTTGACACTTTAACTATAACAAGTTGTGAAGTAGATCCTTATTGGTCATGTTTACTTAGGGTTCTAAATCCCTTCAATATCCACTTGTCCATCTTCTTTCCAAGAGTAGAGCAATTTTGTGCTATTATTGAACTAAATAAGTTTTAGATACCATTGCCTGTATTGCTACTTCTTCATTCAGACTCATGAATATTAAACTTGGTCTTTAAATGCTATTTCAGAGCTCTTATAAATTCTTTTCACAGTTTCTTTTCTTGATTACTGTCTAAAAGTCCTATTTCCTTCGCTTCAAATGTGAGCCCTAATATTCTTTCTTCTGTTTCATCAAGTCTATTGGTGAGGGTTTCCACTGATTTTTTTTTATTTGACGTACTGAGTTTTACACTTTCAAAATTTCTATTTGCTTGTTATTTCTGAATTTCAATTGAAATGCTCTTCCATATCCTCTTTTGGTTGTTTATTTGTATCTTCTTTTAATTCATTGATCATTTTTTTTCAATCGAGTTTTAAGTTCCTTGTCCAGAATTTCCTCCACTTTGATATTGAAGAATTCAGTTATTTGAGAGTTATAAACTTTTAGAGATGCCTCCTTGCCTTGTTTTTATATATTTCCTGTGTTTTTATGTTGAGATTTTCACATCTATTGGAGAGGATATCTCTTCCATTTTTATTTAGGGGTATTTTAGTGTTGCACTTTCTCTTTATGATGTGCTCTCAGATCACAATGCATATTGGTATCAAAGTACCCACTCCACCTGTTCAAAGTGCTGTGTTCAATCAGCACCACTTTGAGAGGAGAGATAACCTCCAGTGACAGTGACAGCTTAAAACAAATCATATACCAACATATGTTAAAAACAATGAAAATTATTGTCTATCACTTTACCACCCAAAGAGAAGAAATGCAAAGTAATAATATGGAATAGGCTGAAAGATTAGGCAAGAAAGGAAGCAAATTAATATTAAACTACATAGAAAAAAGATGAAAAAACAAAATAGAAAAAAAACAAAAGAGATCAAAACAAAAAAGGTGGGAGCAATTTAGAGAAGAGAGACAGAAGAAGAGTAAGAAAGAAAGTAGGAAGGGGAAAATTGAGAAAGAGTAAAGAAAAGAAAAATCAAATTGACGAATTTGAAAACTATATGAAAATTAGACAAAAGCATGAAATAACAAATAATGAGTATAAACAAAACAAACCAACACAGAAGACAATAGAGCAAAATTAAAAACAAACATGAAGAAGACAAACATCATCCTTAGCTACAGTATTTAAGACAGGCAACTCTCAGGGACTTTGGTTTTGGAATCCATCAAGTATTATGGGTATGACAAATGCCCGAACCTCAGTGACATATCCTTTGATTGTCTCTGGGCATGGGAGCAACTGAAACCAATGAACTCTGCACTGGGGTGGGGATTTGCACATTTTTTTCCAGATCCAAATCAACAACTTCATCAAATAAACTGTGCAGAACTCAGGCTCAGAACTTATTCACACAGTTTTCACCCTGCTCTCCTCCAGTGTGACTGGGGTGACTGTGGTAGCTCTGAAGTGGACTGGGAAGAGGCAGGTCTTGTGACTAAACAGTGGGGACTGTGTTGGGTGTTCCCAGCCCAGCAGATGGGTTCCTCCCTGGTGTGAGGAGGTGGTGGATTTTTGGTGCCCAAGAGCTTTTCCTGTGTACAAAGAAGCACTCAAGCCCAGGTGGTAGAGCATGCCACACTCTGTTTCTGTTGCTCTCCATGGCGGCTTAGCAACCTTTGGCTCACAGCAACTTTATTGTATATTTTATTCATAGGGTTTCCTTCAAAGTTGTTTTCTTGTGGCACACATAAACTGCAATATCCAGTGGAAATGAAGATGCAGAGATTTATATTTCCAAAATTACAAGCTTAGGTATGACCACTACAAGATGGGTTTCCTTCATACAGCTCTCCGAATGTAAATTTTAAAAAGTGAAGCATTTCTCTGCACCAGCCTGGTATGTAGCTCCAGGATCAGCAAAGCTCAAACTGATGATCTCTTCTGCACCCAATTCCCTAACAATTTTCTCAACTGTGTCTCTCTCTCTTTCCCTTTGTTCGACATCTGCGCCTGCCTTGCCTCAGTGCTCCAGATGCAGGTTTGGCATGTATGAACTCTTTTGCACTCTCTGTTCCCATAATCAGAATTTCTGAGTCTCTGTTAAGTCCCTGAGGATCCAATATTAAACCTCAGAATATACCCTCAGCCACACACCTCAGTATTTGCCCTTCAGCTTTTTGAATTTTACAAAATTACAGCTGGCTCCTACTTCACTATCTTAATTCATAAACATTTTTTCTTTTCTTATGATTTTGAAATTTCAGAAAACACTCTGAATTTTGATTTTTATGAATCAAAATTTAATATTTCTAACAATCTGTTAAAGATTTTCTGACCATTCAGGAAGGACAATTAATTATTAAATCTGTTAGTTTCCTGATCACTGGATAACATGAATGTACATTTCTATATAAAAGTTAAATTATATTCATCACATATATCCATGGAATAATTTAGCAGGTGATGAGTCCAACCTAATATACACCTGCAGATAAGATGCTGGCACTCATGATATTGTGGGGGGAAACTTAAGGTTAGGTGCTAAGAAGTTGACTAAAACAATAAAAATAGAATTTGTAAAGGCCAAAACCTTATTTAAATACATAAAAAATTCAAGAAAACTAAACAGGGATCAGAATAAGTGTACATCTTGTGAAACGGATGAAGGACAGGCAGCAGATGTTCAAATGTCATTATTCACAGTCTCCTTCACACCTTGATGGATCAACAACAGTGTGATCCAAGAAGAGAGAAACCAGCAATCATAGGTGCTCTGCAGTAACAATATTCACATGGATGGAGACAGACAGAGGACCACAGGGTTTAGGGACCAGAGCATTAGATAGAAACCACAACGGATCTGAAGGAAGAAGAATGGCAAAGAGTGAAGCATCTGACTAGGTGATATGGGGTAAGATTGTAGTTCTGACACAAATATATAAACTTGCATTTTCTGATGTTGGGTTTTTTTTTCTTTTTTTTTTTTTTTGGAGGGGGGGGTACCAGAGATTGAACTCAGGGACACTAAACCACTGAGCCACATCCCCAGCCCAATTCCGTATTTTCATTTAGACACAGGTCTCATTGAGCTGCTTAACACCTTGCTTTTGCTGAGGCTGGCGGTGAACTGGCAATCTTCCTGCCTTGGCTTCCTGATGGCTTTCCTAAGTAAGTTTTCGGTTTAGCATATGTTTTACAGCAGCTTTAACATCCTTATTCCTCAAGCTATAGATGATAGGATTCAACATGGGGATCACTTCCCCATAAAACAAAGGAATAAGCTTGTCTGAAGTTCGCAACTTGTCTTCCCCAGTCAGGTCTTGGGACTTGGGTTTTGCATACATAAAAAAGATGGTACCAAAGAATATGATCACCACAGTCAGATGAGCTGAACAGGTAGAAAAGGCCTTGCGTCTCCCTGTGGCTGAGTTCATTCTCAAGATGGTGTAGAGGATAAACACATAGGAGAAGAAAATGACCAGCAGTGGGAGAACCAGGAAGGCCATATTTGATATTGACATGGTGATAATATTAAGAGATATATCAGCACAAGCCAGCTTGAGGACAGCTAAGATCTCACAGGTAAAATGATTGATAACATTTGTCCCACAGAAAGGCAGTCCCATGGCAAGAGAGGTTTGCACAGCTGAGTTGATTCCACCAGACAGCCATGATACAGAGGCCATCAGTGCACACACCCCCTTGTTCATGATGATGGGGTACCTCAGAGGGTTACAGATGGCCACATAGCGATCAAAAGCCATCATGGCAAGGAGAAAACATTCTGTGGATCCCATGGCAAATACAAAGAACATCTGTACTGCACATCCAGAGAGGGAAATGTTTCTTTTCTTTGAGATTAAACTCACCAGTATTGAGGGAACTGAACA